TGGGTGGATGGGTGGATGGGTGGATGGATGGATGGGTGGGTGGATGGATGGATGGGTGGATGGGTGGGTAGATGGGTGGATGGGTGGGTGGGTGGGTGGATGAGTAGATGGGTGGATGGGTGGGTGGATGGGTGGATGGATGGATGGGTGGGTGTGTTCAACAAGTGACTTCATACAAAGAAATCTCTGTGGAATATGTGTAAAGAGTGACAAGATTTCCTTTGTAGGGAGTCTTCCTTATAAATGACACTCAACATAGAAGGTGTCTTAATAGAGGACTAACCCTGCCCAGGGCTTCTGGGTAACCCTGGGCATCTCTGTGCTCTTGATAAGCACAGCCCTCCATGGAAGACAGCTTGCTATCTGATTCACTACAATGATAGAAATGTCATTTTATCAAAACTAACAAAAGTACATTTTACTTTATGAAAGAGCCACTGGGTGTGTGAAACCGGGAAATCACCTCAGTTTAATAATTTCCCTTGTGAAACTGTCTCCCTTGAGTTTAGATTTTGCAGCAGCAGGTTGGTCCAAATGCTCATTCACTCCAAGGACAAAAGCACGTCATGATTCCTGCATTGGAATGTGTTCATGATCAATGTTGCATGTTTTCTCTCCACATCTTTATCTGCATTTTTCAGACCATGATTGGATTGGCAAACTTATCCAACTTTTCTTGCTAAATAACTTTCCCAACTGTCCATTTTCTGCCTATTCTTCAATTTATTCCAGAAAGTAGGCTCAAAGCTCAGTATGAACTTTCTTCTGTATGCTTTAAGACAAAAGTCCCATATATTTTGTTCCTGTGTATTTTTGTTGTGTACTAAACTTAAAATACATCCATGAAAATGCTTACAATTGTGTATTACCATAATTAACCATAGAAGATGATGAACATGAAAATTTATCTTTAAAAATATATATCATAACTCAGTAGTAGAAAAATTAATAATTTCATTTTATTTCATAGCATGCTTCAGGTGAAAGCTTAAATATTAATTAAAGCAAAAAATGCTAGCTTCAGCTTTGTTTTTCCATGGATGTATTTACTTGGCTGAGTCCTAGACTTCCTACCTCAGTTAGAGAAAGAAGCAGTTGGTGTTGGGGGGATACCTCAGTGGCTAAAATACTCACCACACCAATGTGAAGAGCAGAGTTCAAATTCTCACAGCCAATATGAAGCTGTACCCGGTAACCCATGTCTATAATCCCAGCACTCCTAATGGTGAGATGAGAGGCAGAGATAGGAGAATTCTGGGAAGCTCCTCATGGGTGCCCAACTATGTATACACAGAGAGGGAACAGGGGAAGACAGAGAAAGACAGACACACACACACACACACACACACACACACACACTTGACTTTAAGAGAGAAGAGGACAGGGCTACAGAGATAGCACAGTGATTAAAAGAGAAGCACCTTGGTTTCTCTTCCAAGGCACTTGCTGTTTGGTTCCCATCACCCACATGTCAGCTCACAACCACCTGTAACTCCAGTTCCCAGGGATCCAGTGCCCTCACCTGGTCACTGTGGGCACTAGGCATGTACATGGGGTACATAGAAATGCATGCCAGCAAAACACATAAAATAAAAATAAATATTTTTTTTAGAAAAGGGGAGAAAAGAGAGGTGGGAAAGCTGCTTAGGTCAAAAACCCTGAGATTCATTCCAGTGACCAACTTCAATCTAAGGGTACATAGTTCATGCAGTGTTACCTAACACTAGCTTCAGAAGTATGAAAGGGTCAATCTATTGACTGCACACAGTTTGAAGGAGATGTTTAAAGGCAGGGTTTAAGACTGAGAAATATCTTATTTCAACACTCAGATTTTCCCTTATTTCAGGGCTGCCCTTAGAAAATATTCCAAACCACATTACATACTTAAGTATCTCTATCTGTAAAATGAGTTTTGTATTTTATTATTACTCTTATAATTGGGATTATGACTGTCACTTGTAAGGCTGTCTTGAAAACAAGAGATAATGCACAAAAAAAAAATCTAGAATGTGGTTAAAGCTCTAACAGCCTGCTCAGAGCTCAAGCTCACTAAACCCAAACTAAGATTTCAAAAGTAAGTAAACATTTCCTTCTCTTCCAACAGGCTAAGGAAATCTTTGCTTGAGACTTTAAAAGAGGAGCACACTTTAGAAAATGTATCCAAAATTTAGTCAAGTGAGTCTTGAACAGCTAATGGAAGAATTCCTTGTGCATTTTAATCTGGATTGGATGTCTCTGACGATTCCCCCTACTAGCGAGTATAGACAGAAAGCCATGCCCTTTACCTCAACAGTCATTCCTTCCTTGGGACATGATGTATACATAGACTATCTCAATGCTTGAGAGGCCAAAACAGAAGGATCAGCCAGGGATATATAGCAAGTTCCAGACCAAACAGGGCTACCTAAAGAGACCCAATGTTCCCTTCCATCCATTCACCAAACAAACAAACAAACAAACAAAAAAAAAAAGACTCCTTGATCTTTGAGTAAAAAGTCTGCAAATGTCATCCTGTATCCTCACTTGTAATCTAACCACAACTTTGGATTCCACAAACCCAACCTAGAGGTTTTACAAACCACAGAGAATTGTCCTAAAAAAATGTCCGTATGCTTAGAATTTAGATATGATTACAGTATATGCAAAGTTGTTTCTTTTTCATTTCTCAAAATAAAAAGTTCATTTTCACAGCCAATTTGCCAGGTGCAGCTTCATCTCCAGAGGCAAAAGAAATCAAATTTTGGTCGATAGAAGATTCATTTGCTACAAGAATCATGTTCACGTTGAACATGTTTCTGTTTTTCAGATGTTCTTGAGGTTGAATTGTCTCTCTGACACTGGTTAACCCCAATACTTCATCATCAGAAATTCAGAGTTGCATACTTAATAGACAATCAATGTAGCTTTGGTGTAATATTTCAACCTCAACATAGGATTTCATTCTTTTCTGTTTTTTTTTTTTTTTTTTCGATTTCAGTGTCCTATAAATTTGCTGTAAGTGAATGTCTGGAGTTAATTCTTCCTGTTTAGTCATCTGTCCCTTTTATGGCAGAAATAATTTAGAAGCTATGCCCTCTGGAAAGCTTGATTCATTCAGATAATTGTAAGAAACTGAAATCTAACAGTGAGATACCGTGTGCTGTGCTGGTCAGGTCTCACAAATGTCACCATCAAGGTGAAAATCCTGCTGATGGGGGTGTCTGAAGGTTTATGGGATAAAGATAGATTATAGATAGACAGCAAATAGAAGGGTAGTTGATAGGGATAAATATAGGTGATTCACAGATAAATAGATGACAGATAAACAGAGCGAGAGAGACAGATCATAGAAGGATATAACAGGTTTAGTGAATGGCGTGAGTTATGATATTGTTTATTTAAACAACCCAGTATTTCCCAGTAGAGCAGCTTTTTCGCTACACCAATTATTCATGATCTATAAAAGCAATATACTACATAACCAGATAATTTGTTTTTAAATAAACCATAATGAACTTCATTGCAGTTCACTGCTTGTAGGTCTTTGCTTACCTGTGAGAATTCACGGGAATCAGGTTTATTGCATTCAACGGATACAGCTTGCCAACAATAATGAGGAAAAAAACAAACAAACAAAACCGCTGGCTGAGTTTGTTTCATCTCTGTGTATCCTTCACATATGCTAGGGATTTTCGCCCAACAGACCATGTTCATTAAAAGCTAAATTTGGGGAAATGCTGGTACTATGCTAAATACCTAACTTTAGCACTGGCATCTCTCATCCTTCTAGTGCAATCTGGGAACTGAAAATCAAATAACATATAAGTTTGACAAAACTCTAGGATCCACGAGGTCCATCTCTCTGACATTTCAAATATTGGGGACGTTTTATTGAGACATTTTCTATGTGGCCCTAACTATCAGGAACTCCCTATGTACATAAGGCTGGCCTCTAACTAATGATTAATATGGGAGAACCAAGCCCAAGCAAGCAGTCCTGGATTTTGTAAGAAATTTGGCTGAGCAGGAACAGGGGAAACAAGCCAGTAAACAAACAGTAAACAGCCTTCCTTCATGGTCTCTGCTTCAGTCCCTGCCTCGCTCGACCTCTGCCTTGGCTTTCCTTGACGATGGACTCTAACCCGGAAGCTAAAATAAGCGCGACTCTCCCTGACTTGCTTTTGGTTGTGGCGCTTGTCACAGGAATAGAAAGCAAACGGGGACGCAGGGTGAGAGCTGAGAAAGTTTGGAGAGTGTCGTGCTTCGGTGATGTTTCCTAATGCGATTTCTGGCTGCGTGATTTAATGTCCATGTACAGTTGTGGGTTTGCTTCTGCAGGCTGGTAGTGACGTTAGTGGTGCTGCTGAGACTATACAGACATGTGGAAGATTTCTTATTTAAGGGCTGGAGTGCTTCGCTCTCCACAGAGGTGTCATGTGTACTGATAGGTACA